CCAAGCAGAGTGCCCCAGGGGTCAGTCCTGGGGCCGGTTTTATTCAACATCTTCATTAATGATATGCATGATGGGCTGGATTGCACCCTTAGCAAGTTTGCGGATGACACTAAGCTGCGGGGAGAGGTAGATATGCTGGAGGGTAGGGATAGGGTCCAGAGTGACCTAGACAAATTGGAGGATTGGGCCAAAAGAAATCTGAGGTTTAACAAGGACAAGTGCAGAATCCAGCACTTAGGACGGAAGAATTCCATGCACTGCTACAGGCTGGGGACCGACTGACTAAGCAGCAGTTCTGCAGAAAAGGACCTAGGGATTACAGTGGATGAGAAGCTGGATATGAGTCAACAGTGTGTCCTTGTTGCCAAGAAGGCTAATGGCATATTGGGCTGTATTAGTAGGAGCATTGCCAGCAGATCGAGGGAAGTGATTATTCCCCTCTATTCAGCACTGGAGAGGCCACATCTGGAGTACTGCGTCCAGTTTTGGACCCCCCCCACTACAGAAAAGACAAATTGGAAAGTCCAGCGGAGGGCAACAAAAATTATTAGGGGTCTGAGGCAAATGACTTATGAGGAGAGGCTGAGGGAACTGGGCTTATGTAGTCAGCAGAAGAGAAGAGTGAGGAGGGATTTGATAGCAGTCTTCAACGACCTGAAGCGGGGTTCCAAAGAGGATAGAGCTAGGCTGTTCTCAGTGGTGGCAGATGACAGAACAAGAAGCAATGGTCTCAAGTTGCAGTGGGGGAGGTCTAGGTTGGATATTAGGAAAAACTATTTCACCAGGAGGTTGGTGAAGCACTGGAATTGCTTACCTAGGGAGGTGATGGAATCTCCATCATTAGAGGTTTTTGATGCCTAGCTTGACAAAGCCCTGACTGGGATGATTTAGTTGAGGTTGGTCCTGCTTTGAGCCAGGGGCTGGACTAGCTGACCTCCAGAGGTCTCTTCCCACCCTAATCTTCTATGATTCTATGATAAGTGGAGTGGAAATGGGGAGTAGAAACAAACTGAAGGGACTATCCCAAATCCATCTTGCTTAGGACCCAAGCATGGAGGAAGTGAGATAGACAATTGGCAAAGATATGGGTAGGAACAGACTGGTCTACAAATACTGATATGCTGCCCTTGACAAGCCCATCAAAATGTATGTTTAGACTGACTGTTGGTCAAGAAGAACTTGCTGCTACAGATGATGAGTGGGGTCAGTGATCAACTGCTGCCCCTTTTTTTAAGCAGGTCCTGGGGCCGAGGTACAAAGCTCTGATATCTGTGAGCCTGCTAGGGTTGGAATTGCTTCCTCTTCATTGCCGGTGTATAGATTCCAAGTAACTTCAATGCTGCCCTGGAATCTTTTAAGCTATGCAGCCTATTGTCTATCTTTTCCAAAAAAAAGTGATGGATCTTCAAATGGTAAATCCTGGAAGGTCTGCTGTACTTCAGGAGGGAAACCAGAACCCTGCAGCCATGAACATCCCCTCACAGATATGGCAGATTCCATGGAACAAGCCACTGAGTCCACCACATCCAAACTGTCCTGAAGTGCTGTCCCGGCCATCAGCTTACCTTCTTCTACCATGAGATTGAACTCCTACCTAGAGTCCTCCAGTAGCCTGTCCTTTGACTTCATGTTTTCCCATACAATGAAGTTATAGTGACTTAGGAGGGCCACTTATATGGTGGTGGTAGGCCCCATGGTTGTGCAGGCCATTGCCTCTTGTAATGTGCCCGCTGCTGGGACTGTTGAGACATCCATGGACCCCACAGCTTACATGAAGGATAAGCTTCCCATCTGGTATGGGACACAAAAGACACCTCTTCGGAATCTGATGATGATGACTGAGTTCTGTGATAACAGTGGAGCAAAACCTTTGTGGACAGGAGACAGGTAAGCCAAACCTGGAGGTGGCAGTACCGGAGATATTAACGATGGCTTGCCCCTGGAATGTCCCAATGTCCTAGGCACCAGAAGTGCCATTGGTACCATATGCTCCTGCGGGTCTGATGTAGGAATTACAGTTGCCAGTACTAGCTGAACCCCTTCCTGCACCACCAGGGACACTGGTACAAAGAGGACGAGTAGATCTCTGGCAGCATTGTCGGTACCGGAACTGGTTCCTGGGTTTGACGAATAGAAACTTCAGGGGTCAGCATCAATGGACCTGGCACAGGTTCTAGAGTCAATGAACCCTCCTTTGTGGCAGAGGATCACTCTGGAGAACGCTTTCCCTCAGAGTCCCTTGCAGGGTCCTTATTTTAGCAGGCCTCAGTACCAAATATCTTGCCAGGTGCGGTACTTTGTCTTTGGAAAATTGTGTCTTCTGCAGTACCAGAAATACCAAAGCTGGAGTCAAAGACATTTTGAGAGGCACACTCTGCACTGATTGTGCCCCACTCAGAGTATGCTCTGAACCCGAAAGATCTGATGCAGGGCAAAGCGCCACTTCCATAAGAAGACACTTAAGCCTTACTGCTCTATCTTTTTTTTTTTTTTTAAGCACAGCTTGAACCCTCTACAAATGTGGGACTCCCCCAAATATTTTAGGCAGCTGAGGTGTGGATCATGGACTGTTAAAGGTCTGGCAAACAACTGGCAGGACCTGAACCCCAGAGAGCAAGGCACAGTTCCGGTCCTAGTCCCAAAAAATCAAATTTGGTCCAAAACAGACTTAAAAGCTAAAAACTTAACACTAACTATATACTGTATCTGACTAACTACTAAGTACTAAACGAGAAACAGATTATATATAAAGAGTGAGGAAAATAAACTTGCAATAGCAAGAGCGGAAGCACTCCAACAACTGTCACTGGTGGTAAGAAGGAACAGAGGGAGGTTGGGAGTGGCTCTGCCTTCTTATACTGGTATGCACAGGTGCACAGTAAAAGAGGGTGCTCAAGCCACCCCGAGGGGTACTGCTGAGGGAAAACATTCTCTAACAACTATGCATGAGGCATGCACACCTCTACAGTGGAATGGACATGTGCAATCACTCAAAGAAGAATGCAGGCTCTGTGGATCACATTGATGTTCCTATTATTTTCTGGGCACCTAAAAGTTAGGTGCCGTGACACTGAGCATTGTGATGCCTCAGTGCTTTTGTGGATCTGGGCCAAGATCCTTTACAAATAATAAAGATTCTGTTGGAAGTCTGAACATATCCTGTGGCTTTTATTAGGCTTTAATTTTATACACGTTACATTTCTCCTGCTGCTCCCTTCACATCTGATCTCCAAACTCCAAGTCTTCAGACCATTATTAGACCTTGCTTTTGGCTTATCTGATGGTTCTTGCACTCTCAACATCCATGAGTCTACTAGATGAGACTGTTGGCAGCCCTCTCCTCCCTTGAAGTAGCAGTGATATTCAGGAAAAGCCCATTGACCACCCACCTCCCTCAACCAACTGCAGAAAATATTTAGGTCAGAGACAGCCTGCACAACCTTTTTACCTTGGATATGTTTTGTGAACTCCTACCCATATCTCTCATATGTCCTTGTTTTTTTCACCCACGGAGCTCTGGAGTATGTATGATTCCCTGCCTTGCTCCTATCTCCTGAAGCTGCTTCCTGAACAGAACTGGTGCTCCCCATACATTCGGGTGGCTGTATATGGCATTGTGGCAGCTGTGCCTCAGTTTCCCTCTTGGGGTTTTGGCCTATTCCAGCTATAGGACCCTCCAACCAAGACACAGTCAAGAATCTGACTCCTTCCGGAGTCACAGAGTCCTTTAACACATCCAACGAAAATATAAAGACAACTAAATCTTCAGCCCCAATAGGGCACACCTCACCACCCCTCTTCCTCACAGGCAAGCGTCAGCTATAATGCAATGTCCTCACACTTCTGTACTTCACTGCAGTCCAAAGGCTAGGGCTGGCACAGTTCTCTACCTTCTAGGATCGCAAGCAGGCCATCATCCTTCAACAGCTCCTGATCTGCCCTCAGGCTACAGGCTCACCAGAGGAGGAGACTGTCTGCTTCTCTCCCCTCCTAGCCTTCTATCAGGCCCTTTCCCAGAAAGAGGGCACTCACTACATTCTCTCCCTAACCTCTGTCCCCAAATTAGCTTTCCTTTAAGTCCTTTCCCTTCACCTGACCACACCCTCTCCAGATGCAATCAGTGAGGTTCCTAGTACCCTCAGGCACTTTATGGTACCTGTGTGGTATTTACACCCATCACAGTTCCCCATTAGTTTTCATAAGCAACAGAGACGACAGCATTATCTAGAGGTTAGAGGCCAAGGATATGTCTACGTTTTGAACTGGGGAGGAGGGGGGAGAGGGGAGGAGCGGTGTGATTCGAAGTGTGGATGTACCCTCCGAGACAGGACTCCTGGGTTTAAGTCCCATTCCTAATATGATCTCATAGGATTTTGGTCTAGTCACAAACTGAGGTACAGAGAAGATATCTATCTTTAAAGCGGATAAAATCATATAATCTACCACTAGAGATATTGTGAGACTTAGTAGAGTGTTTTTAGATCCTTGGATGAAAGGATATGGGCTAGATCCTTAGCTTGTATAAACTGACCCTTAGCTTCACATACTTCAATGGAACACTTGTGGATCTGGCCCACTGTGTTAGTGAAAAGTATTAATATCTTCAAAAGAATAGCTAACCAGTCCATCCACTCCCCCACACCAAAGGAGCTCATCAGAACTAAAATAAGTAATTTGCTAATAAAATTAAATATATTTAGTGTTTGTTTAAAAACATGCAACATATTTAAAGTGTTCTAATCCCACTATGGTTTATATTTTAAAATGCTTGAATGTTACAATTTTACATACAATATTAAACAAACTGATTTTAGATATGAATTATGAAACAGAAGTGCAATTAAAACAAGACTGATCTAACAAATGTTAGTCAATTCTCCATCAACTTAGAATATAGCATAACAGAGTAAATTATTACTGACATGTTGAATATCTTTATCTAAATTTAAGATCCATTTGTTTTCATACCATTGATTTAACTACTGCTGGTGATGCTTGGATCATTTTTGTTCATCATCATGTAGGTCTTCTTCTTCGTGTTCCTCAGCATCTACGAAAGCCACATGTGCTGCTTTTTTTGAACCTGAAGCCTCACCTTCTTCAAGAGGTATTTCTTCTACCTTTGCTGTGTCTTCATCACGTAGGTCTTCATCTTCACGCTGTTCAACATCTACGAAAGTCACACGTGTTTCTTTTTTTGAACCTGA